TAGATGCTCATACATACAAGGATTTGAGTAAACCAGTACTTTGGCACAGTGAAGCACTATGCAGCTGTAAATCAGAATGAGGAAGCAAGTGCTCCATGAAGAGATGAGGTCTAATTTCAAAGACATATTAAGTAAAAGAAAGCTATGTTAGATAAAACTGTAGTGTGGTATCTTCTCTGTAAAAAGGAAGGGTAAATAAGAAAAAAAAACACAACCATATATATATATATATATATATATATATATGCTCATTTTTGCAAAAAGATATGTAGGAAGAATAAACCAAGAACTAGTGAGACTGGTTATCAATAGTGAGTGAGTGGGGGAGGGTAGAAGTAAAGGGAAAGAGAAGTGACACATTACCCTCTGAATAGTTTTCATTTTTGGAACCATATTTATGTTTTATACAAAATATGTAAAAGAATGTCTAACATAAAATTAAGAATGGGGGGAACCCTAAAATAGAAAACAAAAAACACGTGTTTGCCAAATGAATACTAACCACATTGATGCAGGGGGAAAAAAATAAACTACAAGTAGTGGCTTTTTTCCAAACAGCTTCATTGAGATTTAATTCACATATCATAAAATTTACCTAAAGTATACAATTCAGTAGTTGTTGATATATTCAGAGTTGTGCAAACATGATCATAATCTATTTTTAATACATTTTTCATCACCCCTTCTTAAGAAAGTCCAGGGTCAGCAGAGTGGCACGTTGGTTAGGAGCTGGCTTGGGATGCCAGAGGGCCCCGGTTTGGATCCCACATATGAGGGCCGGTGACACTGCCCTCTACAGCTAAGATGCTGAACAACAGCTCAACCTGGAGCTGGGCTGCCTGCCGTGAGTCGACGGCGTGGGCTGCAGTCCCTGCTGCAGTGGGCTGCCATAAGCTACCATGTGTAGCCAGCAGCCGCCATGAGCAGCCATTCAGAAGCCGGTGACTGATCTGCCTCGCTTGGGAAGAGCTCAATGATGGTGCCAACTTGGGCCAGTGAAACAACATCCTCCACAACTAGACTGAAGAATAAAAGGACAGCAACTTGTCTGTTCCCCTTCCCCCAATTCTCCAGCGCTATTCCCATCCCCCAATTCCCCAATAAAAATCTTAAAAAAAAAAGACAGTCCATACCTGTTAGTAGTCACTTCCTATTTTCCCCCACTGTCTTGTAGACCTAGGCAACCACTCAACTACTTTCTCTCTATATAAATTTGCCTATTCTGGACATTTCCTATAAATGGAATCACACAATTTGTGGTCTTTTGTGACAGGCTTCTTTCACTCAGCAGTTTTCAGCATTCATCTATAATGTAGCATGTATCAGTATTTCATTTCTTTTTATGGCCAAATAATACTCCATTGTATGGACATATATACATACATTTTATATATCACAATAAGCAGGTTGTTTCCACTTATTGCCTATTGTGAATAATGATGCTGCAAACACTTGTGTGCAACTTTTTGTGCGGACATATGTTTTCATTCCAAATGATCTGAAGACAGTATTTTGATCGTATTCCTTCTGACAAAAAGAACTATAAAAATATTTAATAGGGTTATTTTTTCACAGAGGTGGAGGTTAAAAATTCTGCAACTATTTTTGTATATTCTACAGTTAAGCAAATACAATCATGCGCAGCTTAACAAAGGGGATATGTTCTGAGAAATGCCTCGTTAGGTGAGTTTATCATTTTGGTAACATCAGGGTGCACTTACACAAACCTACATTGGTCTAGCCTACTACACACCTAGGCTCTATGGTACAGCCTACTGCTCCTAGGCTACAAGCCTATATAGCATGTTACTGTTCAAAACTACATGAGACTAAATCAAGCGCAAGAGAAAATTATGCAATGAAGAGACGCAAGGCAAGCACAAGACGTATGAAGCAGCTACCTATGTAATGCAGCATATTTTACAGCAAACTTTTTTTTTAGAAGTAGAGTGTACTCTAAAATAATAAAAGTATAGTACAGTAAATACATAAGCCAGTAACATAGTTGTTTATTTATTGTTATCAAGTATTATGTACTGAGCTATGCTTTTATATGACTGGCAGCACAGTAGGTTTTCTTACACCAGCGTCACCGCAAACACATGAGCAATACATTGCACTATGTTAGGACAGCTATGATGTCATTAGGCAACAGGAATTTTTCAGCCCCATTATAATCTTATGGGACCCCAGTCATATACAAGTATGACATTCCATCATTGGCCAAAAAGTCATTATGCAGGACCTGATTAAATAAATATATTGAGGATAGAGAGAGTCAAGTCTCTCACAGAGAAAGGAATCACAACTATGAAAAGGGGAAGACGAGAATGAGCCCTGTGGAGCTGGACTGAAATTGGAGATATTACTATGAAATGATGGTGTTAACACAGGCAGATATTTAGGAATAAAAATATAGACATAGATGTAAATCCTCACTCTGTCTGCTGAGAGGGCCTAGAAGTAATGATACTCTAGTAACAACAAGCACCTCTAGTGCCCAGAACTTGGTTTCTAAGTACAATTCTCCAATAAAATGAATCAGGACTCCTGGAAGAAATGGCTGATTTCAGGGCTGCAGGAGAAAGAGAACAAGCTCAGCCTGGAACAACGTGCTATGCCAGGATAGAAAGAACTGTTCGAAGAGTGCTGGGGTCATGTCAATAGGACAGAAGAACCAGCCTGCAGGGGCCAAATCTGGGACAATTTGGCCATAAAAATAAATAATTATAGTAATGGATTATAAACTACTGAATAAAATATAAATTTGTGAGTTCAAACTGATATAAATGAATAATTAAATAGGAAATAAAACAATTTCTTATGGTAGAATGCCAACTAAAAAATAGAAAAGAAATGATGGATTTAGAAAATTACCATTTGGCAAACATAATATTGATTCAGGCAACCATCATCATGGATGCTGAAGTTAATGGATAAAAGTCTAATAAATAACAGGGTATTTGTATAATATGAAAGTATCTCCTCACATAATACCAACTATAAAGGGGAAAATAGTAACTTTACTTAAAATTTGCAGACATCACCTTAATCCAGGGGACCAAAGCAGTGGTGTGCTAGGGCTGACTCACACCAACTCAGGAAAGTCACATCTCTTCCCAATTCTGTATTCAGTAATGACATTACAGCAGCTTGAAACTGAGCATGGTGGGAGTACGTGCACCATGGAAATCGGTAAGTGTTACAAGTCAAGGCTTTTTCCCCCTGGAGAACTAGTTTAGACATTTATCAGCATAAATACTGGATCCAAGTTACTATCACCAGACAAGCTGACTCTATGTACCTCCTGATATTACACACCAAGAAGAACATAATATCACTTTTATGGTATTCTGACCAAAATGCATGACCTCAATCTAACTAGGAGAACACATCAGAAAAAAAATCCAAATTGAGAGACATTTTACAAAACAACTGGAAGGAAGGAATCATCTCTAGAGAAAAATGATAAAGCAAATGTGGCTAAATATTAACAAAGGAGAATCTGGGTGCCAGACATACAGTTCTTTGTACGTACCATTCAAGGGACTTTTCTGTAAGGCTGAAATTATTTAAAAATGAGCAGTTATAAGGAAAAAAACGCGTACGCTACCTGGTCCTCCGCCCTCATCCTGCGGTCTTTGCGGCTGCCATTGGAAGGAGGCAGTGAGCCAGGACTTCGAGGCCTCAGGGTGCCCAAAGGCGCGCAGTCACAACAGAAGCTTAGCAGCGACCACCAAACCACCCACCCCCGAAAACACAGGAACCTCAAACACCCCGCGCAAGCTCAGGGCCGCGGGCCCACTCAGCACGTTGCCGCCCCGCCCTCCCTGCCCGCTGATTGGCCGCGGGCGCAGTGACATCATACCCTTCACGTGGGGCGCACGTGCAGCTCGAGGCTCTGCAGGGGCTGCAGGTGTGAAGGCCTCAGCGGCCAGGTGACTCTGGGCGATTCGCCCCTCCCCAGCCCGGGATCCCGGCCGCAATGGACCGCCCTTCTGACAAGCGCACATTCCTAAAAGACAAGAATCTTTGTCCTCAGGTGGCCAACCCCACCTCCACCCACAAACTCAGTGTTGTAAACCAGTGCCCACTTTCTGCAATGGTTCCTTACTGTTGTCTTTAAAAGACTGTTTGTGGTCCAGGTGTTGCTGTTTCCAGCAGGGGCTGTGGAAACCTCGGCCAGTACCAGCCGGCCACTCCTCCTGGGGGAGGGGCGTGTCCAGGCTCTTCCATTATCTATCAATTAGCTGGAAATTGAGTGTAAATGCGTCCCAGCTTTACAAAGCCTGCTGTGATCTGCTGCCTGCTCAAGGAACACCAGGAGACAGACGTCAGGTGGTGGGGTACGCCAAAGGTACTGTGCTTCTGCCACTTACCGGGTTACATTTTCTGATGAAAGCTGGTGTGTAGGATGAAGCCAATGTATCTGAATTTTGAGGTGACAATAGTGAGAAAATAGATAACACACAGATGCTGCTAAATATGTTGATTGTGATTATAGTTGCTCTTGCAAGATTCTTCATTCATCCTGTGTAGACAAGGAAGATGATTTCCATTGTCTAGCATAGCACCTGGCACAGGGTAGGTGCTTGGTAGATATCAATGATTTTATAATTGATATTATAATTGATTTTATAATGCTCTGAACATACTGCAGAATTGGAGTGATCATTCTCCCATTACCTGTAAATCTGGATGTATGTTTGCCTATGTTGGCATGGCCATTGTTCTTTAAAATGATATTTTGTAAAAGAAACTCTGTGTTCTTCCTATTTGTGGAAGAAATTCTGGAGTTCCCAATGATCTCAAATGCTGAGCCATGAAAAGAGGCTGAAAAACACAATTATGACCTGTGTTTTCACTCTGTATTCATGGAATCTGATTATCGTTACCTCTCTTTATGTATTTTTCTTTTACACCCCTCCAAACAAAATGAAAGGATCCTATAATGAAAAGGGTGAAGGAAAGCTGTCTTGTTTATTTCAATTGAGCAGACAGGCATGTCAAGCAAATGAAGACAGAAGAACACATAATGAAGAGTACACTGGGAGAGGGTAAATGGATTGTTTTTAATGATTCACAGCAACCACATTATCCCCTACTGTTACTAGAGAAAGAAATGTCTTCAGATAACCAGTGGTCAGCAGATGAGGACGAAGGCCAATTATCCCGACTGATGAGGAAATCTAGAGACTCCCCCTTCGTTCCTGTAGGTAAGTACAAGCCTTGACTGGTTACAAGAAAACTGCTTGTAATAACACGTTCCTGTTTTCTTTACCCAGTATCTTTGAGAGTTAAAATGTTTTATATAGAATTTTTTTCAGATAATTGAAGCTTAGGGGATGCCCTTTAGGCATAAGTAAAAACGTTCAGAACAGTTTCTAGTATGTGGTAAATCCCCGATAACTGTTAGCTATTCTTAGTATGAAGCATGAGATTTTATTCTATTTCACCCATCTTCATTCGAGGCCTACCTAAAATTACTAGTTCCCAGCCAACCTAAATAGAATTGATTGAATGGGCTTAACTTTTTTGTGATGACACAGGATCAGCAGCAGCAGACTGAAAGTCTGTTAGGGACTATGGAGATGTATGTCTCTTTGTTCTCCAAGTGACTCCAACCTTTAAGTTCCTGTTTCTGATATGTATAGATTTTCTGTTTCTTCCATTATTGTCCGACAATAATGGAAGAATAAATAATAAATATCAAATAATAAACAATAATAAATATCCAACACTTCTGCTTCTGATGTTCTCTGGCGCTAGAAGCTAGATACCCAGCTTAAAAGGACTGAGTCAATTCAGACTAAGAAGCTCAGAATGACATGGGCCTACCTGTACCCTTGAGAGCATGAACTTGGTGGTGTTCATGTTCAGTGGCCCTTTTCCTGGCTTCCTGATGTGTTCCAGATGTTGAGGTTGATGGTTAAATAATCTCTAGATTAAAGAAGTGGTATTATAATTAGGCCTGGAGTCTTAGTCTCTTTATTTTTTCCCAACACATATTTTCAACAAATCCTACATGTATGTGGGATTTTTTTTTTTAAACCCCACAAAATCTAAGCACTGATATTATGTTTTTAAAATCTAAGTTTTCTCTTTCTTCTTTTTTGGATGCTTCAGCTGCCCTAAGCATTATAGACTGCAGCCATGCCTCTTTCCTTGTATTAATTTTGTCTGGAAACTATTAAAATAACTTATTTAAATCAGACTTACATAAGTTCATGATTAATTTCATAAAAACCTTCTAAATAAGTATAACTCATATGTTTCCATTGTCACTGCAAATCTAGCAACTCCTAAGTGTCATTATACACATATCAACAAGAATCAAAATTTTACTTTATAGTAATGGTCTATGTTTGGAAGTTTCATTTAATTTGATTAAGACTTATAATAGCACCCACAAGAAATGAAAACAAATAATTTTAGAGTGATTTATTCACCTTCCTTAGCTTTTTAGACTAGAAAAACAATTCAAGAACTCAATGCCACTTGAAAAGATCACAATAATGAACAGAGATTAATCACTGTGACTGTCATAAATTAAATTATCTTTCCAGAGACATTTAGGGTGATTAAAGTAGAAAGATAAAAGTGTTTCCAGCTAAATTCAATTATATACAAATTACAGAGCCACTATATGGAAAACAGTATCAAGGTTCTGACTTTAATCTCTAAAAAAAAACAAACACAAAACCAATTTAAGTGAGAACAGAATCTTGGTTTGAAAAAGGAAGAGAACCAAGTTTCTGCTAGAAAAATAATGATAAAATTTGAGTATATATTATTGAATAGTTTGTTAGCCTATTGTTATTTTAATAATATCTGTATTTCCTATAGAATGGAGTGTCCTGTGCAGATAATTTACAAGACATTTTTGTTATCTTAAACAACTTCCATCATTATAATCTTTTATTTTGTTTAAAATTGTCTTATGATCACTGTTAAGGTCTGTGCATACATTATATGCATTTAAACTGTGTTGATAGATTATTTGTTCTTGCCTCTTTCATTTAACATTTCTTATGTACATTTCTGTGTATTAGTACTTCCTATAATTTTAATATTTTTATAGCTATGGCAGTTTTTCCTCTGTTTGGGCCATTTGGGTTGATTTTAGTTTTTGTGTCAACTTCATCACTTTTCTTTTGCTTATTTTCTTGGAGTATGTTTCCAAAAGTAGAATTTCCAGGTCAGAAAGCACATTCAGTTTAATACCATTTATTATATATTTCCAGAGTTCTTTCCATAAAGATTTAGCTAAACTTACAGAGCTTTCAGCATTGTACCTGTTTCTCAAATGTGCCTACCATCATCATTTGTTGTTTTTGCTGTTTTTATACATTTGTCAGTTTTATATCCATTTCATTTATTGCTAATGAGCCTATAAACTATATATATATATATATATATGTTATTATTTATTGATTCTTATCTCCACTTATTAAATGGAGCCTAAAAGAATAAATATAACCTCACCCACCTATAGAGATATACATGTGCCAACATGGTTAATCAAAACTTGCTATCCTATATAAATATTAATTGCATTTCTATATACTAACAAACACATGGAAACTGAAATTAAAAACATAATGCCATTTATAATCACTCCAAAGAAAAGTAAATGCTTAGGTATAAGCTTAAGAAAATATGGACAGAATCTGTATGTTGAAAATTACAAAATGCTAATGAAAGAAATCAAAGACCTAAATAAATGTACAAACTATTGTGTTCACAGATTGGAAGACTCAGTATATAGTAAAGATGTCAATTCTCCCCAAATTGATCTATAGGTTTAGGGTAATTCCTATAAAAATCCCCTTTATCCATTCATATTAGATGATGAATATTGGGTCAAGCTTATTCTAAAATTTATATGGAAAGGCACAACTCCTAGAATGTTAAAATGATTACAAACAAAAAAAAAGGATAAAATGGGAGGAATCACCCTACCTGATATTAAGGCTTACTATATAGCTACAGTAATCAAGACAATGTGGTATAGATGGAGGGATAGATGCATAGATCAATAGGATAAACAAGAGAACCCAAAATATAGGCCCACACTTTTATTATGCAAAAGTTTTCTTTATTCTTATGTCAAAATATAGCATCTGTCCTTGTCATTTTAAGTCTACTATACCCTTTTTTATTTTTTAAATAATTTATTGTTCAATTACAGTTGATATATATAATATTAGTTTCAGGTGTACAACATAGTGATTACACATTTATATGAGTTAGGAAGTGATCATCCCTATAAATCTAATCCCCATCTGACATCATACATAATTATTACAATATTATTAACTACGTTCCCTATTCTGTACTTTATATCCCTGTGACCATTTTGTAACTACCAATTTGTACTTTTTAATCCCTTCCCCCTTTCACCCATTCCCCTAACCTCCCTCCCATCTGGCAACCATCAAAATGTTTTCAGTATCTATGAGTTTGTTTCTGTTTTGTTTATTTTGTTATTTGTCTTTCTCTGTCTCATTACTCTGCTAAGCAAAATCCCCTCTAGGTACATCAATGTTGTGGCAGATGGCAAGATTTCATTCTCTTTTATGGTTGTGTGATATTCCATTATGTTATGTACCACCTCCTCTTTATCCATTCATTCATTGACGGACACCCAGGTTGCCTCCATATCTTGGCTACAGTAAATAATGTTGCAATGAACATATGGATGCATATGTCTTTTTCAAATTAGTGTTTTGTGTTTCTTTGGATAAATACCCAGAAGTGCGAATACTAGGTCCTTCTTTGTCTCTTGTTATAGCCTTTGTTTTAAAGTCTATTTTGTCTGGTATAAATATTGCTACTCCAGCTTTTGTTTGTTTGATTCCATTTTTATGAAATATCTTTTTCCATCCCTTTACTTTTAGTCTGTGTGTCTTTCAAAATGAAGTAAGTCTGTTGGAGGCAGCATATGTAAGGGTCTTGTTTTCTTATCCATCCAGCCATGCTATGTCTTTTGATTGGAGAACTTAGTCCATTTACATTTAAAGTAATTGTTGATAGATATGTAGTTATTACCACTTTATTATTCATATTTTTTATGTTTTTTTCCCTCTTCTTAAAGAAGTCCCTTTAATATTTCTTGTAATAATTGGTGGTGATGAACTCCTTTAGTTTTTTTCTTGTCTGGGATACCTTATCCTCTTTTAGATGTTATAAGCATACTATTCTATTTTCTTCTAGTTTTTGTTGTTGACATTTTTGTTTTTATATTTAATTCCATCCAGAAATTTTTTTTTTTTAAAGATTTTTATTGGGGAATTGGGGGGATGAGAACAATGCTGGGGAATTGGGGGAAGGGGAACAGACAAGTTGCTGTCATTTTGTTCTTCAGTCTAGTTGTGGAGGACGTTGCTTCACTGGCCCAAGTTGGCACCATCATTGCGCTCTTCCCGGGTGAGGCAGATCAGTCGCCGGCTTCTGGACGGCCGCTCACTGCAGCTGCTGGCCGCTCACGCTGGCTGCTGACTACACATGGTAGCCCATGGCAACCCACTGCAGCAGGGGCTGCAGCCTACACCGTCGCCGGCGACTCACTGTAGCCCAGCTCCAGGTTGAGCTGTTGTTCAGCATCTGAGCTGTAGAGGGCAGTGTCTCTGGCCCTCATATGTGGGATCCGAACCGGGGCTCTCTGGCGTCCTAAGCCAGTTCTTAACCATCGCGCCACTCGGCCGGCCCTCCATCCAGAAATTTTTTGTAGGGTCTGGTGTGAGATACAAATCCAAGCTAGTTCTCTATACCAATAAATTGTACTAATGATTTTTATTAAATAATTATTCCTTTATTATTTGGATATTTTGATTTGTCATGGATTAAGTTCTCACAGTGTTTTAAATGTTTCTAGAAACTTTCCTATTCAGTTGATCAGTTTTCTGTTTTAGAGCCAATTGCATAGACAGACTCTTGGTTGTCACAGCAGTATATTCTCCCTTAACATCTGTAGGGAATAGAGAAATATTTGTATGGGCTTCTGGAGTTTTCCAGAATCATAGTTCTTCCCAGAGATGCATACTTCTTGTGCAAATATTCATACCTTTTCATCTCTCATTAATTTAATGTCTCATTTTTTATAGAAGATTCAAGTTTTTATCACTTTACTAGATTTACTCCTTATTTGATAACAAGTAGAGAGGAGTAAAGTCAAATATTCAAAAGCTGGAATGTTTGGTTGGTTCACTCACTAAGTGACTTGCCCCAAATAAAAGCCTTGCAGCATGCACAATTTGAAATCATGCCTCAGGAAAACTAGAAACGACTAGACAAATTACACTACGTGCTTCAGGTTTCTCTGGGAGTAGGCAAAACTGCAAATATTGAATCCATGAATGTTATGGGTCCATTTTTAAGTCTCATAGATCAAATCTGGCATAGTTCTTTTTTTTTTTTTTTTTGGTAGAGGGCAGTGTCACTGGCCCTCATATGTGGGACCCGAACCAGGGCCCTCTGGCGTCCCAAGCCAGCTCTTAACCAACATGCCACTCGGCCGGCCCAGGCATAGTTCTTTTTAAAAGTATTCTTTAGTATCTTGCCTGCCTATCTTCCAAGTACTGATCCTCTGGACCGTCTTTTATTCAACTCTCTAAGCTCACGGGAATTCTAGCCTGCTACTGATATAACCTTTCCTTTTTTGATCCACAGGGATGGCTGGCTTTATGACTGTGGTGGCCTATGGTCTTTACAAGTTAAAGTACAGAAGAGGCCAGAAAATGTCCATTCATCTTATTCACATGAGAGTTGCTGCCCAAGGGTTTGTTGTGGGAGCTGTGACTCTAGGTAACCTGCTTAATTTGTATCTTGTGTTCAGCTGTCTTTGAGGATTTGTATTTACTTTATCCATTCATATTAGATGATGACTATTGGGCCAAGGTGATATAATGGAGGAGGAATGGTAAGAAAAACAATGATCTTCACTTGGTTGAGGTTGCTGCCAAATTATAGGTTAATTTCTGAATATTTTAAGCACCGAAAAAAAACCCAGCAGATAAAAGGTACAAATTTCCAGTTATAAAATAAAGAAGTTAGGGCATGTAATGTATAGCATGGTGATATAGTTAATAATATTGTATTGCATATTTGAAAATTGCTAAGAGAATACATCTTCAAAGTTCTCATCACAAGACCAAAAAGTCTGTAACTATATGTGGTGACAGATGTTAACTAGACTTATTGTGGAGATCATGTCACAATATATACAAATATCCAATCATTACGTTGTACACCTGAAATATAATGTTATTTGTCAATTACACCTCAATTAAAAACAAAACAGTAGAGAACTACGTTATGGGTTCTGTTATCCTCTATAATAAAAGGAGGAGCGAATAGTTCATACCCTATATAATTCAGCTAAAAGCAGTAGCTATAGATCCTAGCCTTTACTGCTCAGCTAAGAGCAGCATAGCTCCCAGCCTGTTTGAACAGTAGATAGATATAATTGCTAAAGTAGTTTAACTGGGAAGAAAACATTTTCAGAGTCCACAATATCCTTGTTCTCCTTTTATTCCAAGTTTTAGCAATAGGCAAATCTTTATTTTTATTAGTCTATAAATTAAGCAACGTTTACACAGTCAAATCCAGAGAACAGATATACAATTATCTAGTTAATTCAGGTTAATATCAACAGCTAAATCAGGTAGTTCTAACAAGAAGTCCAGTTTGGGACCTAAATCATCTGATCGCTTTTTTCTTTTTCCGTCTACATTAATGAGGACAAGTCACAATGTTCTTAGCTCCCCTTTATGCTGTGCAGGGTAGAATCAGCCTAAGAGTAAGTCTAGAACTATGGAACAATGGGTGTGGGGCTTGCACATAGGGAGTTATACAGTAATTATCGTATTACTATGGTCTGTGACATGTGAGTCTGGAATACAATACAAGAAACTTTAGTACAAAGTTACAGTCCTCATTTTCATCATTCAGCAAACATTTATTGAGCACTTGCTACTTGCAGGGCACTGAGCTGGTCTAGAGAGATAGACACGAGACTCAGTCCCTCCCCTCAAAGGGTTGTCTCCTTAGGAGACAGACCAAGAATGGAAGACAATATAAAGTCATAGGTACTATGATAGAGATAGTACCGTTGCTGTGGAAGCCCAAGCAGCCAGGAGGGGCATTTAACTAGGGCTGAGAGCCCAGGGGAGGCTTCTCTAAAGATGTAAACTGTAGGTAAGTCAAGCAGGTGGAGGAATTAAGTAGACAGAGAAGGAAATCAGCATTCTAGGCAGAGGAAATAACAAAGGCACAGGAGCATGGCACGTTGGTGGAACTCTACATAGTTCGGTATGGTAGGTGGATCAATTAGTGTTTTCCGAGAGAAGCAGAACTACTAGTAGTAATATATAAGAGGCTTAGTATAGGCACTTGGCCTTATGTAATTGGGAAGCTCTTACTTATATATCAGGAGATGGGGCCTGAAGTGGGAAGGTCAAATGGTTAGAAAGAAAAGATACCTGTAATGTGGCAGAAGCAAGAAAAATCTGGAACCTTCAAGGATGAGCTGGAACACACAGGATGGCCTGGAACCCTTAAGAATTTCTCACCATCTCTGAAATCGATGATGGGCGTGACAAAGAAAAAGCTGATGGCCTTTATCCTGGGACTAAAACACGAACCTGGCCAAGGAGTGAGAGAAGGTAAAAGAGGAAATTGAGCAGGAGCCACAGTAGCTGCACTCCTCATTGCTGCCCATTCCAACAAAATGGGTCAGCAGAGAAGCAAAAATATGCTGCAACAGTGCCACCCAAATATAAAAGGATTCTGGTGGCCTGTTTACTTCTGCCTTCTAAATCTCATGTAAAATGTCTCTTGGGCAATAACTTGGGGAACAAAAGGAAAGGAATTCTGGAAAATGTAGTTACAGTTTATCTAAGTTGACACAATACAAATCCATCACTGTCCACCCCTTGTTGACCTGGCATCCCTGCATTTGTGTTGCGTGCCTCTGAATGGGCTCTGACCCAATGACTCTATGAATGGATGGTGTCCACAATGTCCTGTCCTCAGCAGCCCTGCTCAGCTCCTGCAGACTCATGTCTATGGCCTCTTTTATGGAGTCAATCCACCCCATATTTGGTCTTTTTCTTTTCCTGCTGCCTGCTATTTTTCCCAGCATTATTGTCTTTTCCAAAGAACCCTGCCTTCTCATGATGTGTCAGAAATAGGAAAACTTCCATTTTGTCATTTTTGCCTCTAGCGATGTTTCAGGCTTAATTTGCTCAAGGACTCACTTGTTCATCTTTCTGGAGGTCCAGCGTATCTGTAGAGCTCTCCTCCAACACCGTATTTCAGACGAATCCATTTTTTATTATCCGCCTTCTTTACTGTCCCACTTGCACAGCCGTACATGAGTAACTGGGAACATAAAGGTGTGGATGCATCCATATACACCTCTTTTAATAGACTTAGCTTTCATATAAAGAAATGGCAAAATCAACTGTCTCTTGTATAACAAAAACATGCTAATGCTCTCCCACAGGAAGATACAAAATCCCTGTATCCATCTTTGGGTGATGTTGATTTCTCTTCGAGTTGAGTCACATTCCTCTTTAATATCCTGGGACTTAAATTCTGAGATATAACATTAACTACTATTAATACTTCTTATATTGGATGGTAGGTAAATGGAAGTGATAAATAAAAAAAAATTGGTTAATATAAACAAAAATGTATTCATATCATAGGGGTATTCAGTCACACCCCTTTCTGCCTTCAGCAAGCACTTTGGCTCTTCATGGTTATTTGACTGGTGTGGTGATGCCACAGTCTGGGGAACCAATGCGAGGATTCTGACAGCTGCTGAGTATGTCTATTCCAATTACACATTCCAGAACTGAGGATATAGCATATGGTGGGTTCAGGGACCACCAGGCCAACTGCAAAATAGACCTACAGCAAAACTCCACTGACCATGTGACCTCCACAAACCCCTAGTTTGACCGGTAGACCACACTAATTATCCAGGCATTAGTATCCATTCAGAACCAATATTTCACAACCTCCCACAAATGTGATTATTTCCCCTTCCTCGCACACAGGCACCCTGTTGAATGACCACAGGTCCCTGTGGGGAAGGCCAGAAGGGGTATTTATAGTACTTACATTTGGGGCTATGTAACAGGGTTTTTCCTTAAGGAGATCTGACCTCTTCAAGGGACTTTGGGTCTGTGAATTGACTAAAATCCGAGAATTGGTTGAGGGGCCATGGCTCCCCACTGGAATGATTCCAGTCAACTTGTTCACCAAACCGATAGCTTTTCTGCGTATACGCTGCCCACCACTTTCAACGCTAGTGACACCACAATCCATTAGCCAATGCCAAAGATCTTGGTGGCTTAGGCTATTCTGATTACTGCTTTGACTTTGCTGCTCATTACAGTAACCATGCTTTCGTCGTCCTTGTCAAGTGAATGCTGCTGCATGACCCCTGCCGCCACAGGACCTCATCATTCCCACTGAATTCAGGGAGCCCAGCAGTTCCCACTGTCATTTCTGGCTGACAGAAAATAGTCACCATAAAACTCTGCAGGGACACCAGGGCTCCCTTCACAAATGCATTTGTCCCAGCCTTGGTGAAAGGAGTAGATACATTTAGGGGGTGAGTGAGCAGGATAAATCTACTCTAACATTCCAATCTCCCTAAGCCTTTGGATACCTTCCTCCATGGCAAGGTTTCTCAGTCTCAGCATCATTGACATTTTAGACTGGGTTATTCTTTGTTGTGGGGCTGCCCTTGCATTACAGGATGGTTAGCAGCATCCCTGACCTCTACCCACTAGATGCCAACAGCCCTCACCCTCCTCCCTGCAGTGTGACACAAGTATACCAAGGAAGTTCTGGCATTTCAATTCCATTTAGTGGAGATTTCCTTTTGGTCCGAGTTTCAGTCATTCTCAGACACGGATGGAAGGGCTGTTTCTATTGGCAAAGGAGTCTCAGTAAAATATAGGGGTTCAGGGATCCAGTTTCACTGAAATCTGCCCATATGTCTCCATCGCTGTTGTCAGGGTCCCACTCCTTCCAAAGCAATGCCCTAATTTTAACATAAGAGACTTTGTGAGGTTGGGAATTTAATTTGTGTTGTGATTAGCCACTCGTAAGATTAGTTCCTGTGTATGTTTTTCAAAAACAGCAGCCTCAGGGCCAGCCAAGTGGCTCAGTTGGTTAAGAGCTTGCTCAGGAGTGCGACCTCTGAGCAACAGCAGTTTGATGCGCGGCCTGAGCTGAGCTGCGGCTGAGCTGCCAACAGGTGGCAGGATGGCATAGATAGATAGATAGATAGATAGATAGATAGATAGATAGATAGATAGATAGATAGATAGATAGATAGATAGATAAATAAAAACCAGCAGCCTCAGGACTACAAGAGTTAAGGCTTTCTTTCTGGAAAATCATAAAGCTTTCAGGTCCCTCATAGGACCTTGAGCTAGGAATGAAAAGCCCTAAGCCTATCATTTTGTTTTCCCAAGTTCTCCTATACACTTAGAAGTAAACCACCTTATGATACTCCTTATTTCCATTAAATTTTCTATGGGAGTAAATACTTGATCACCCAAAGCCTTGCTTTCTATAGGCACCTGATTAAGGTATCTACAGGCAATTATTTAAAAAAATGGTTCCTATTGTATGCCATGGAATGCTAGTAGCATCTTCTTTACCACTGGGGGGAAAATAGCCATTTAAAAAATTCTAATTAGACCAGAGAACCAATTCCAGAGAACCCAGACCTGATAATCCTCATGGCTATGTGCCTCTAGAAGCTTCCGATACCAAATGCT